GCGCTGGCAGCAGCCGCCTAGCTGCGCTCCCCACGCGGGCACCTGGGCCGCCCGGGACCGCCCGGCCTGCCACAGCCTTCGCACGCCGGGAAGCTGAGAGTGCTCGCTCGGCTCCAGTTTAGGAGGGACAAACCACTGGGTTCTGTACCCTTCCCCTGCGCAGTCATGCTGCAATCCTGCAACTGTGCCTAGGCACTCGTCTGACAGCCCAGCCGGGGTCCATCAACAGTTCCTGTTAGAAGGGTACCTCACAACACCCAACATCCAAGCAAACCACCTTTCCCAGGCTGCGCCAAATTATCAGCCTTCTATAACTGCTTTTTCTCGTACGTGCATTTTAACTTCCCAGCGTACAACGTAAAAAGAATCAGAAAGAGAGAAATAAGTAGACAAGAATTAATGAAGGATTCTTAACATATATCATTAAAGATTTATTACTGAAATTCCCTCGTTAAAGAAAACCAAGAGAGAGGCGGAGGGACCATGAGGGGAAGATGATTAATTACCTTGAAATACTGGCTTCACCTGAGACTTTTCCTATTTATTATTGCCACTGAAGTTAAAGTCCTGGATGCTGGCTAGAAAGAATTACTATACACCGAAGGGGCCAGGCTCTGTGTGTCCTGAATAATTAATTTGTGAGAGGGCTAAACTTCCCGAGGTATGGTTCACTTCCCCACGTGTTCGGACCGCTTCTATCAAAAATAATACTGATAAAGTGATAAATTTGTAATAGATATTGTAGTTGATTTATGTTGCCAGCATCCCCAACGTTTAGTATAAATGGTTTATGTAAAGTTTGGTCCTTCTGATTCTGCCTGTGCAATCTCGAACCGCTGCACAAATAATCTGTTCCTAGCTAAAAGGGCAAAGTTATAAAGATGGGATCAATGGCCTCAAAGGTGCCACCTCCCCTCCCCAAACTTCTCATTCTAACACAGCCGAGACGATACAGTGCAATCAGTCTTCAACCACAAGAAAAAAAAAAAAAAAAAAAAAAATATTGGCAGGAGAACCAGAAGCATGATAAAGCACCGATGAAGAAACAAACAGTAACTCCAATTCAGCTAAGCAAACAATGCCCAGAATAAACTGCAGAAAAGAACAGCAAAACAACTGAGCACGGTGTCAAGAAAAGTTGGGGATGCTCCATCACACAAGACGCGTAAGACTAAACAACCATCTGTCAGGAGTGGCAGGCAAAGCATTCAATAAATGCACCCGCATTTACGCGGCAGCAGTGTCAGGGAGCGGATAAAACGACCTTAGGAGGCTTTCCTCAAACCTTAACATTTTAACGCAGGGCTGAGGCGCATCTCCTAGGCGGAGGGAGCACGAGACAGAGACAAGACAAAGAACAGCGACCGGCTGCGTTACAGCAGCTGCTTCTGCGCACAGCGGCACACAGCACGTATTCCAAACTAATCCACAAAACGCTCCTCCAGGCCGAAGTCGAGGGCTTTGGGGAATGCAGCGCCCTGGAGACACCCCTCTATTGCAGTGCTTGATCCGGGGGACTGCCTGACCCACAGGGTGCTGCAAGCCTTGGCTCTGCAGGACAAGAAACCCAGCACAAACCAGAAACACGACCCTCAGGCACGTGCCCTCGGTGCAAAAACGAAACCCTGAGGTGCCCGTTCCCGGGCGGTAGGATTTACGCGGTTACTGCAGCAGGACCCCAGGGCCGAGAGGGTTTCCTCAGTTACTTTTTGATCGTCCGTTGGTTGTTCCTGCCAGCAGGGCAGAGGCAGTGCCCGACACAGACTGGCTTTCTGTCCGACACGGGGTGCGGACTCATCGCACAAACACAGCACACTTACACAGCGTTAGCCGACGTGAGCCTTGGTCTGGGGAAGTCCTGTTTAAGTTTTGCAAGCTTGCCTCTCCCCGGTTTTGTGACCAGTTTGTCCAGACAAAAGCAATCCAGAGAAGCCAATCGGCAGAATAAATAATGTGGAAACAGGTGTAATTCCCCAACAGAACAAACCTCTAACTAACAACTGCTAACTAAGCCCCGAATCCAAGAGCTGCTCAGCGTTTTGTTGAAACTCCTAATGCTCCCCGTGTCAGAGCTAAGGATACGCTCAGTGCTTGGCAGGACTCGGGCTGCTGTGGCCGAGACAACATCTTCACGCTTTCTCTGAAGCTCTCATCCATTTTCCCCTCATCATTATTCTGAGAAACCCCTCGCTATTACTCAATTCTCAGCTGTCCAAAGGAACTCCAAGTGCCTATGCGATGTATTTGCAGGAAGAGGACTGGGAAATAACCAGTTCCTGATTAACTACACATCTAGAAAAAGCCACTGGCTTCAGATTGATGTGATCCACACTGCGGAGTCCTAGAGTATTTCACAGTGTAAACAGCAGAGATCTGTAGAGGTCTAGATTTGAAAGAAATGAAGAGTGACTTACTGGCTCAGAGATTTATCATCTGCAGAGAATAATACTGCAACAGTTTGGTAGGCATCGGGTCACAGTACAATAGCTTTTATACTCAGGAACAGCTTGCTTTTTCTTTTTTGAAAAAAGCCCTCCAACTCACACGTGCACATTTCCCCCCAGACAATTACATTAAAATCCTACACTTTATATGCAATTATCTCTTGCTCTCGATGCCTGAAGAGGTGGTTGCTGCTCCTCCACGCGCACCCCCCATTATAACGGTACCATGGCCAGATCAGCTCTTACAGCAGCACCATTCACGACTGACAAAGCATATTTTCTGCTGATTAAAGTAAAACTAGCTATTTACACGTGCTAGTTTGGAATCAGGAATGTTTATTTCCAAGAGGTCGGCACGTGTCCTGGTACTGAGATGATCCTTACCACTCTAGAGAGAAACGGAAGGAAGAAGCAAAGCAAGGATTCTGCATCTCAACCTTTTTGGCTTTTCAGATAAACACCATTCTCCCCTGGTAAGACTCAGAGATTCTCCAAACCCAAGGTAAAAGTGCCTCCAAGCTTAACTTCCCCCAGAACAGACGTGTAAAGCTTTCTTGAGGGCGAGCACTATTACCACGTTCAGAAGATGCCCAGGGAACCCAAGGCACAGCTGTGTGATTAACAGCAAGGTAACCAAAAGCTTCGATGGGAGGTCCTGGACTGAGGTCCTGGATTACCTACTTCAGAAAGCTCCGCATCCACTGTCCTTCACAGTGGCCACCGGTGCTCCAAAGCCAAACAAAGAAAACTGTTACTCCCCCTTGCTACCAGAGATAACCCCTCCATGATACCATGGGCTTTGGGGTTTTTTTTCCAAATCTCATAAGCCAAAAAGTTATTTGATAACAGCAGAATGGCTAAGCCCAGTGAATTTGGCAGCCTTTTCTGTAAAGGAGTAAGCTCCAGAAAAATCTCATAACTAACCCACAGGCAACACAGCGAAATTATAATCATGACATTCACCAGCCACCGATGTTCAAACACACCCTGCCCGGGAGAGGCCGCGGCTGCTTCAGCCCCGTTGCTCCAGGGCTGGCTTTGGGAGCACTTGTTTGTTTGGGGCATGCACGGCCGTTGTCAGCTGGGTGCATCGCAACGCTGGTGCGAAGGGCAGCCACACCTCAGCACCTTTGGAGGAAGCCTCCAAGAGCCAACTGATGGAACGTGCTGAGTTTTCTTTGCAACACCTCCTGTGATACCACTCAAAAAGAAATTTAAAATTTAAAAAAAAAAAATTTAAATTTAAAATTAAATTTTAAATTTTAAAATGTTTAAATCCTTTAAGTTATTTCTAGCAAGAAGAACTGAAAGAATCATCCATCTCATTATTCACTATCATCATCTGCTTGTAATGCAGCAACAATGGACAGGTACTTTAATTCTCGTTAAGGGTAGTCAACCTAGCTTTTAACAGAACACCGGCCTAAGTGCGTTCATTAAATTGACACTGAATCCTCTTTAAAAAAAACCCAACTTATTCTTAGAAGGCGTACTGCTGGAGACATTTAGTGCGCGAAGACATTTTGTGTAAGTGTGTCCTACATCATCACGCTAAGCCCAACAGTGATGCCATTTGGTTTATAATTTCTTTTTTCACGTAATTTAGGAAAATTCTATTTTCATTCCTTAGTAACAAATGTTGTATTTCTTCAAAGACGAACAGACAATGCTTCCGTTGGCACTAAAAGAATCCTCCCACAGAGTGCACATAGTGTACATTCAATTTTATTTTTATCAATGCTGAACCATAGCCAGTAGTGGTAACAAAGCCCACAGACTGTAGAAATTTGTTTGCGACTGACTCAGTAGAGTTGTGTGAAAACCACAGCGTTAATAAGGCACTCTGGTAGTTCTAGTATGTTCTGTCCCGTGGCACTCACAGACACCTATGACTTTCATACCAATTCCTGCTTTCTCCTCTGCAGCTCCATTCAGATGAAGATGAGCAGCACACAGTAGACAGCGACTGCATTTTTTTTTTTTTTTTTAATAAGCAGCCGGAATTTCTTTTAATTTTAAGAGGGCAACTTTTGTTCCTGTTAACCTTTTTGTTCCAAGAACTAACACTTCGCTACCAAGCCTACCTGCTGCACCCCAATTAGGCACGTACCAACGCACGCAAGCATTGCCGCAATCGCTCCAGGCATGCGTTGGCTCATCCCACAACAGCATGGCTGTAGTGTGTGGGTTTGCAAACTTCTCGCTGTAAAGAACAGGCTGGTCCCTGCAAGAGACACGAAAGCCTTCTCACCTTTTCTCACTTTACAGTCTTTTCTGATTAGGCATATCTAGTTATTGCCGTGGAGGTCAAGTTTAATGGAGAGCTGGAAGTTAGCCATGCAAGAAGCTATATGACAGTCTTAATGAACTTTCTCAAGAGGGCAAATCTTTCCACAGAACC